GTCCTTAAATTGACTATGATTGACTGTATCCACCTCAAGATCTTCATTTTTCGCAGTTGTGTCGCCCGCGCCGCTGTCAGCGCCGCACCTTATGCCCGAAAGCTCCTTCGTCAGTGGGCTCCCACTGGTGGGTGCGGGCCTCACCAAAGTCTGCCGATATTGGTCATGGAAGAGCTTGGACGGCGAGTCCTTGGCATCTACATACATTTCGTTAGGCTTTTCAGCAAGAATCATCTAGTTAGGTGGATTGAAGTGATGCGCCGACAATGGTGGATCACGGCGCACAGCGTGGCGAAGTATTTGATTTGTCACACCCTTTACCACCTTGCGCACTGCAAGGTGCTTTTGGGGCGTCGCGTCCTGATTCCGCTGCGCAATTTCCTTGAGATGTGCTGCTAGATCTCTGATGCATAAATTTCAAGACACTGGTGCGCTTGGAAAACAGAAGCCTGATTTTTTCATCACATTGGTGAGTTTAATGAAAGCCCCAAGACGATAAGTTTATTCTGAAAGATCATGAGAATGGAAAAGATCCGTACCATCCAATCTATGATTATCAGTATTGGAGTATGATTATCAGCAGAAAGGGCAGAAACAGGTGGTGCATCACATGAATGTTGTAATGTCCACGAACGACCAACCGCTTGTTTTTGTGCACCACGACCACCTTGTGCCACCACGAATGACAAACGCAAGCCATTGATGAAGAAGGGCTCCGCCCCTGGTGCTTTTGACACGCAAACTTGTTTTCCTTTGCCGTTCTAGGCACATCCAAAAAAGCAGAATACCTGGGATCAAAGCGCCCTGGGGGCGGGGCACAACAACTCTGGTAGGTCCCGAGTTGCGCAACTTCCCAATGTTGATGACGCGAAGCACGACAGATCCCCGGACTGGCGATTCACTTTGACTTTGTATATCCTCCGCTTCAGGGCTGCACCAGGCGCACATGCTGTTGCCGCCGTAGTCCTCGAGGGGCGACTGGCCACTGGGAGCTTCTCCACATGGGCCTTCTATGGGCAGTTCAAACAGTTCCTCCGCAAATTCCCTGCCTTGCCTCATCATTTCCCGGAGAGGAACTGATGCAGTGCCTACCTGGGGACACGAAAGCGCAGAATCAATTTCTTAGGAGCAATGTGCTGTCAGAGTTCTCTGATGGCGATTGCAGAGCCATGCGAATCGGGATAAATTCGAATCACAGGAGCCCGCGTGGTAACAACCTGAGCCTCAGATGCGCGACATGTCTCTAGTTTTCCCAAAATATAATTTTCCTTCCCAGACTTTGGGCTTGCTACACCACCTGACAATATTCATCCAAGTGTCGAACCCAACGGGGCGTGGTCCGGCACCATTTCGTGAAACATGAGCTTTTGAAATGATCTGGTCGCCTGTAGCATTGTAAAGTGCGTTCTTCTTACGCAGGAAACGCGCCAGAGTAACAATACCTATGTGCTGTTAGTCACCTGCAGCAATGCGCCGCGCTACATTGGACATTGTGGATTGTGCATTTCAATGCAAATGGTGTCAATTATGCCCCCTTTGAGTGGTTCACCCTAGAAATTTACAACAAATTTGTTCTGGAAGCAATTAAACCTTGCACCAGGTTGCAATTTATATTTTCTGACGTCTGTACAAGGATGCCAGCAATTACTCATTGCACCCATGCTTTGTGCCTGACTACCGTCCAGCCAAAGCCCATGCCCGACTGTATCGAATGGAGATGCCATAACTACCTGGGCAGTATTTTGAAAGATTGCAAATTGAGCTGCATTGGCACATCCACCTTTCCATTATTGTTAAATATTCTCACCTCCATCATCGAATCACCATCCCACACGTCTATGCTCAGCACCCTTTTCGCCAGGTACTCGCAGAATCGCACATGCCGCTGACGCGCGAAGTCGTGGCCGCCGTCTCCGTGCTCGGCTTCCAAATGGCTCACATCCACGCAGAATCTGTGGATGATCCCTGGCACCCTATTTCCAAAAAGTTGGTCTCCAAACGTGTGCGATCCAATTCCAATTGACCAGTAAAATTCTGGTGGCAAATGAATGTATAGTTCAATGCGATTTAACTTGCAGAAATTGCTTTTCAATGTGCGGCGGATGTATTTGGTACAACGAACGGATCACGTCGTCGTCGGAGTCGGCAATTCAGGTTGAATTACTCAACGATGCGTCGTGTCAAAGACGGCTGACTTAAGCTCGCATTGTTCAGGTTGTTATCGTAGCTATCTCAACCAGGCATGATGCCCAACTGATTCTCCGCAGCTGAAGGGCGAGTGCAGTAAATGTCTGTCGCCTCTGTTTCTTCTGAAGCGCTGTTAGCACAGCCAGCGCGCGAAAGGGATGGCACCCTCACGGTGCGCCAGACTCGCTGGGGTATGGCCTAATAGGTTGTGCAAATTGTTTATCTTGAGAAATTTAGCAATTCGAAGGAACATATGTGTGCTTGGGGAAAATGTAAATGCACTGTTGATAGCTAATTGTTCACACATAACTCAAATTCGCTGCTCATGAACAGATGAATAAGAATCAATAGTAGACTAAATTCAGCCAGAATGCTATGCAATTTCCTGGAGCCCCATACAGGTACCTGTGCAGTGAGGATTCAAAAGATTTGAATGTACCCTCACCTGTGCTGCGCCGTCATGGGCTTCAAAAGCAGAAGGTTTTGATCCCCATCCGCGACTTTATGGCCCAGGGCTGGGCGAGTCGCGGTGGGACCGAAATCAAAGAATTGAAACGTGAAGTACACCTTGCGCAGGGAGTGCGGGGCGTTGCCAGATTCGCTGGACCTTATGGCCATGAACTGAAATATGACATCGCTGACGGTTCGGCCGTCCCGGTGGTCGACTCCCGCCTTCACGAGGGCCTTGCTTCCGCGGCGTGTGTCCCGCCGGCTAATCAGATTATCCACATCTGCGCCTAGCCCACTTTGATAGCCTTCAAGAAGTCAAACAACCACCCAATCAAAACAGTCCGCCCACAAGCGTATTGAGGGAGGCAGTCTTCTGTTTCTTATCCTGCCAGAGTAACAGCAGTCCCGCAGATTGCTTGATCGTCCATTGAGCGAATCCCATTCCAAAAATTGTCGTCCTGCAGAAATGGGTATTGTTACCCGCCACTTCCAATCATATCACACCAACTTAAAGCGCGTACATGGTAGAAATACACCAGATATTCGTTCCATTTGTTCCGCAGCGTGGTGAAATTTCGCATGTGGCAATTACCGAGGCTGTGCAGCTGCGCCATCAGCGCCCTTTGGTGTCGGGGCCTGTGCTGGCTGCGTCCTTGGCCGCCGGAGGAACCTCCAGAGAACCTGAACTCTTCAGTCGCCCCCAGACCCGCCGGAAAAGTGCCCATAATTTCGACGAGTTTCCCGTCCGACCCTCCGCGCTGATTGGGGTCCTGTGGGGCAAATCAGTTTGTTGACAAACGCGCCGATTCTGACGAGGCCGAGACGCTTCCCCTTCTCAGAATGGGATTAAGCAACATTTGTAAGAGGAAGGACAAAAACGCTTGCTGCACAGCACAAACATGCTTGACCTGAAATTTGTACCTGCAATGGATCAAACACAATGTACGTGTTTTGCCAGCAAAGTCTCATACGGAAATTAAATTGTAGTGGCAGTGTAAAAAATCTATAATCGTTGTACTGATAGTCAACGGAAAGGTGTTTTTGATTGATAAATTTGATCACTACACAATGGAATAAAAACATGAGGAAAGAAAGCCACAGAACTGGAATGATGTGCAATAAATCGCTTGGGGTTTGAACGAACATATACTGAATGCGTCAGGCACCGTCACATTTAGGATGCAGTTTCATTCAACACAGATAAAACTAATGCAATTGTTATCTGAATACACTATGTGAATAATTTTTTTCATATTTGAATAAAAAGCAAGAGAGCTATGATCCTGCTTGTTGCAGATGACCTAAGGAAATATTTCAAAGAGAAGGGTTGAGGTAGATGCAATGTATCAAAACTGCGAATCCAATAAGTAAGCTTGTGGTGGATTTTTCTGCATTAGATCCGTACACTGTGCGCGCTGTGCAGTGTGGCCGTCAGGTGCTTCACTTGCTGCTGCAGTGCGGCCATTTGTTCAACCATCAATTTCTGCTGGGACAGGATGATGTGGGATGCTTCGGTGTGGTGGCGCTCATCGCCGAGCTCCAAGCCCTCCGGCGGATCAAAGTTCTGCCGCGCTGTCGACGGCCCACCCCCCTCAAATTCCACAACTGCATGTACAGGGGGTAATTCGTTATGAGAACTTGCACATCAAGCCAGAATTGGGATCTCAGTGCTGCGTTGCAGATTACTGCCAACAGTGGCAGCACTGTTTGGACCAGTAGCATTGCGATCATTGTCAGGTCACTGCCAATATTCATGCTAGTGTTTGTAGTATAGATGTTCCTGCCGGTGCCAATTTTCATTGACTTGTCGTAAAATGTACGTGCACATTGACGTTATGGTGTATTTCTATGTATACAATGATGTACTCATGGTTACAACAACATATCTTCGGAACCTGCTATATGCCTACCTTCGTACGTTGGGCAGTGTCACATAAATTTTCTTGCACTTGGTTACTTTGGCTGCTTTTGCTGAAAGAGCGCTAACAAACATGCGCAATTCTTGCATGCACATGTGCGCGTAAATGGCGATATCCACCCATGTCACCGAAGGCGCCGCCTGCTCGTTCAAAGATTATCAAGGGTGTGAACAGTTTCTGGCTTCATCCCTATGATTTTCAAGGTAGAAATTGCAGCACCAGTTAATTTGACACACATCAATTTGGAAGACGCTATAACCTTCCCCATGGCGTTGTCTGAAGCGATGCAGGCAACGTAACGCAAGAGCTCACTGGTTTTGTCTGGCGAGCCTGCACGGGGCTGGCTCCCCTCCCTCAAGATCCGAAGCTTTGCGTTTAGGCTCCGTTGGCCACACGGGCCGTCCGCGCAGCTGCGCACGCGGCTGCCAAGAAGAGGTGACCCGCCTGGGGACAACGCATCTTCTTGGTGGATGTCGAGGTTCACTTCGCGGAGACCCTCTTGTACGACGGACGCTCCACCTGGGTCCACCAGCGAATAGGGAGGGAAAGCGCCCCACAGCGCAACGCATTCCGCCGCCTCAACCGCCTCCTCGAGCTTCCTCTGATGGGCAAAAGAAAGGCTCTTACATGTTAATAGTATCCTAAGTCCCAAGGCGATTGTATAAAACTACTTTCCTGAATCCCAACTTTATATCGGCGTTCATCACCATCCCCAGTGCGCCAGCCCTAATTTGGATCACAGAAAACGAATGCGTGGCTGCAACCCAGCTCCGCGCCATTGCCAAGCACTGATACGCAGTCCGAACCTTGTGCGTTGCAACCGCGATCGAATGGAGCAGCGAAGGCTGGCCACTCGCAATCGCCCATGTCCTCACATGGCGCGGCTAGTCTTGGCGGGAACAACTTTCATTCCACATGGGAAAGCAGGCTTGGTTTTTGCGTTTACGTTTTTGCTTTTACGTTTTTACACGTAAAATGTAAATTTGCAAAAGGCCTTATTTTTACGGCTATTTTTATGTGCTTACGGCTCCCTGGCACACCCAAGTTACACGATGAAAGTCGCGTACAGTAATCGATCCCCCGCCATCTCCAGCATCCGCAACACAATGTCCACTTCGCCCTTGGCAAGGGCGATAATGGAGATCAACAGAAACTCGTTTTAGCCCCCTTCCAGGGCGTCTGGCTGCCACTTTCCGGACCCCTTAATTCTGTATGCACTATCCTTATGTAAAATTGGAAGTTTTTACGTTGTATTTATGTATTTTTACGCAATTTTTAGGCGTAAAGACGTAAACGCTATTTTCACATGTAAAAACGTAAGTACGATCAGGTTTTACGGCGTAGAAACCAAGCCTGTGGGAAAGGGCATACGTTGATGCAATATGGTGGATGCATTGCTGCTGAAGCACCGCTCATCAACGCTTCACATGGTCAATTCTCATGCATCAGTATTGGGAAATGTTGATGCGTTGTGCTAGAGGTAATGTACTGGAATTGCTGCTGCGCCACTCGGTGTCCCATCAGCGCTTGCTGTGCAATATATACAATGTGCACGCACCCTTGCATCGACGTCCACTCTCACTTCAATGCTGCAACTACGGCGACGAAACCTACCTTCCTGGCGACCATGAGCACCTCCACCACAATCACCACACACGCGTCCCCAGGAACGCCGCCCACTGCCATGGTCCCCCTGGCCCTCAGCGCGGCCTTCCCGGAGCCGCCCTCTTCGAACGACGCGCCGCAGCGCGCCCAGGTGCCCACCGCCCTCATCCCGTTGTGCGCTCCCGCCCTGATCACGTAATCCACTCGCAGCTCCCCATGCCTCGACTCAGTCCCGTTCCAATTAGCCCGGCCGTCTCTGGCGAAGTCGTGCATGGAGGATAGGAAGGCGGATCGAATGTCCGAAGGCATGACGACGCTGAGGTCTTGAATGACGACCCCAGCCGTCTTGCAGGCTGCGGGGTTCCTCAGGTTGGTGGCCGTGCCAGAGGTGTGAGTGGTGAGCTTCCCGGCCTTGGAGGTGCGGAGAATACCGGGAATGACGTCGGCGTGGGAGACCAGGAAGTTCTCGGGGAGAAGCGGCGCGGCGACGGCGTCTAATCCGCGGCACAGGTGCACCTGCAGGAGGGCGCGCAGCGTGAGCAAGCCCTGCCGTCGAGTCCTTGTGTCCTCAGAAGAAACCATCCGCTGATCAACGGGGTGATCCGGTGATCATCCGCGGATCGGCGGGGCGAATGGAGGGCGCTGCGACGACCGCACGTCCATTGCGCAAAAGTTGGTGGTGGGAATGTGCTCGAAAACTCTGAGTGGGAAGGTGTTTGTTACAAACTGAAGTTTGATTAAAGACATACAAGTTTACGTAAACCTGCTGTTATATGCCTTTTGTTATGGGAATGTGTTTCCTGGATCTTTCGCAGTGATCTCAGAGTGAATGGGCTCAAGTCCATATGAACTGCCAGCGAAAGGGCAGTAATTATGCAATAATGTGCCAGCAACTAAATTACAATTACCTATTTAGCCAATTATTTAGTACAGTGGCATTGTCAGCAATTCAGTGAAGTTCGAGCTTTATTGACTGCAGGGTAAAAATGCATTATGCAGCAATTCAAGCAAGCAAATCATTGGCAAAAGTGGATTCTTTGCCAAAAAATCACGTGCTCCGAGGACTTGTTTGATCCCAGCGGGGACATATCTCTTGAACAATTGAGCATCACAAAACGTTGTTGGATGATGGATCGTTCGGAAATTTGTTCCACAGACTCCAGGCTTTATCCGAGGAACTGTTCGTGAAGAATCCACAAATATTATACTTTGGTGAAAGTTGCGTCACACTCTGCAAATATCTGTTGAGACACGCTTAACAGGTTCCGAAATTTTGAGGGAAGAGTTTTTGGGAATTAGATACCACCCACAAAGCGGCCACGTGCACCGCTCATCTTCGGCCGCGTTTCGAGGCATTGCCAGACATTTGAACATAAACAAGGGAATGTCCACATGTGCTGGCGTCTACTGAGGGGCCAGGCATCTACTGCAGTGCAACATGTGCTTCTCCTCTTGCTTCTCCGCTTGCGCCGTCCTTTCTCAAATTGAACTGTCACTGCAGTAATTGAGGAATACAAGAAATTAGCATTTCATCAGCCCCTTCTTGTGACTGCCGCATGACCATAGAATTTACACGTGAAACAGTGCACCTCGTACTGCATGCAGCACGTGGCGTGCAGGTTGGGACGCGCGTTGTGGCGCCTCTGCCTGCTGCCCATCAGCAGCCGCCGCGGAGTGCCCAGGTGCAACGGGGCAGCCTCTTGGAAAAAGCCGCCCCGGTGATCTAGAACCTGCGCATCCGAACAGCGCATTTGGATGGAATATAGCTCAGCCTGTCGCTTTAGTACATTTCAATATCCAATTAGCGCAGCGATCAATCACCAGCTGGACGGCTCACTAAGGAGCCCTGCGTGCCAATCTCTCCAACATTTTAGCATCGAATCGCTACTGTATAACTTCCTGCAGATAGGAGGATTGAGGTCTCAGTTGACCAGGAAGTGTGTGGGACGCAGAAAATTTCTTGCACATTTGGATTGGTAAGATTATGGAGAATTCAAAATTGCATGTTATAATCCAGAAATAATCCAGAAATAGCATATGCTTCTTCTGGATCCTTTCATGCATTACGGCATACTGTGCATGATGCAACGGCTGCTTCATTTACAGTACCTTGAACAGAGGTAGGACGAAATATCCAACCGAGAACTGTTTCGTCGTCCCGCCGCGAGACGGGTCCACCGCTATGAGCTCCACGACCGCCTTGCAGCTCGCGTCGCACAGCCTGGTGTGGAAGTAAACGTCGAAATCGATCTCTGCGCTGGAATCGCCCCCCGCGAACCCCGGCCTGGCGGACTTTGGGGCACTGTAGATGGTGTTGCCGAAGAAAGTGGAGTTGCTGTCGAGAAGCGTCACGCCCGCGCTGAACTGCCGCGCGTGAGATCCGCCCCCGACGTCTATGGATTTCACGTCAGAAACGCCTCGCAACTTCAACCGGAAACCTTGAGCACATTTTTTACATTTTTAAACATTTTTTGATTAATTTATCTATTGATTCTTTTATGTGCACTTAAAATACCATATCCATTGGCTTGAATCAATTTACTTTGGAAACGTGTGTGCCACAATGGAAATGTGCCAGAATGGCAGTATCGGCAATGCATTTCCAACCTGTTAGCAATCTGAAATGCGGGGCACATTGTTCTCCGTAAGCTGCACACTTCAACATTGGCACATCAGTGTTTATTGCTGTGCCCTGGAGAGAAACGAATGTGCGGAGCGTACACGATAGTCGTAGTATATGGCACAGCACTTCCACATTCACATTTGCAAATGATAAGGAATTTAGTTCCCATATCCTGGGTGCAAATTTCCTCGTTCACATCTTCTTTCGCATCTTTAATGTATGTGTTTGCAGAGTTATTGAGGCACTTTAAAATTTTATTGGATTTAACTAGCTGTTATGTGAATTGGTCACTGATAAAAGTAGTAATGTTGGCAGGGGATTCCTTCATCTCGCAGTGGAAATCGCAGGACATCGTGCGGCGCATGCTGTTACGTAATTTGAGGTTAATTTAATTGCCACTATTTGTTTGAAATCGACGTAAAATTCAATTCAACTTTGGTATGATTTGTCTCGCAGAAGTTTCTTAGAGAAACTGGAATGGAATTAGCATTAAGCTGGCACCTTTAACCTGAATAATAAAGTTTAGCCCACAACTAGTGGAACTGACCATGCAAGGGTCATCATCGCATTATTCAGCATGATCGCACATACGTCAGCCTACAATGTGAATATTTCATTGCACAAAAGTATTATATCATGAGATATGTTGTCGAGCTGTATTGAGCTAAGAGACTCAAAATCGAGATATTCTGCAACTTGGATGTATAGGGTCACTATCAAATGAAAATTAGTCATCGCATAAATCTCCAGTTCTAAAGCAGCTTTAAAAACCTGACGAATATGTTCATCTATGAATGGACAATATCACTTAATTCCATTATAACAAACCACATGCCAGTCACAATGATGCTTAATTTACACTTGATATATGTTGCTGCTGCAGTATCCCACACCATAAAAGAGAAGTGTACGCACACTGCCAGGCCCCATATAAAGTACGGTGTGCATCACAGTCTTGCTTGATACACTGACGTGAAAATGGATGCCGCGCCCTACTTGACTTTGCTCCTCCCAAAATGCAAGGAGCATCAGTTCGACATAGCTGCGTCCACTTTTGCTGAAGCGCTCGCACCTTGTGTTTGCGGACGCGATGCCCTCTTTCCGGAGCTGATGAGCTCGACGTAACGATCTCGTTGCCTCCTCCTGAATTGATCCCAGTCTTTGATAAGTCTCTCGCCTGATGACGCAAAGGGAAAATCACCTTCAGTGTTGCAGGATAAGCAGATACATGCCTCAGTAGATACATACCTAGAAGCCGTATATATTTATGGCACTTAGGCAGGCTTACAGACGGGCAGATTAACAATGCCATTTTATATGGCACATTGCCAACTATGGGATACTCCGAAAATGTACTGCATTCATTTCCGCGAATCACACCTTTATCTCCCCATTTTGGGTCCACATATTCCACACCACCAGGGGAACATGGATTGTTCCTCATTCCATAAGTCGCATAAACTCCCCTCTGTTCCACGCACTCTCCACGGTTGCCGCTGCTTCCACCCCGCAGCTCTGGCGACTTTGGGTCTCCAGCGTCCGATATTTTTGCCTTGAGGGAAAGATGTATTCGAACACTAGGCTTCAAATGGAAAGAAGCATAAATCCATTTTCTGAGGAGAATTGTTAAAATTTATTGGATAGTTGCATGATACCAACGCAGTGACGACAAGCTGGAGCTCCTGCGAAGTATTTTGGATTACAGAGAGCGACGCAGCCGCTCACGAAACATATTGCCGGAAGATATGGAGTGTACTCTTGACATGAAGTAAGCTGTGCTCAGAGACGTGAAAGCTTTCTATGGATACATTTATGAACACTTTGTGCCCAGAACATTGAAAGAAACTTCATTTGTCATATAAAAGACGACGGAGCAATTCCACGCTCAATATTGTTAAAGGATGTCGCTCGATTCATCACGGTCTTCGAGCGGCTTGAAAAGGGACAGAAGCTCGCCCACGGCAATGAAGTGAATGCTGTCAACCTTCAAGAACGGATGCTGATACGCTGAAAACTCGGTGGCTTGGAATATAGCTATGAGCTTTCAATGAAGAACTCAGGCCAGCGAAGAAATATTAAGTGCCTTGATGCGCTCGAGAGGCGGTGCCCTGCGCAGTTGACTGCTCATTGTTAATCTGGCTCAATCGCGCGCTTTCAGGTATTTCTTCCACGGATGGTATCTTACTTCCAACAGATTGCTTGTTTTGTCTATCCAATGTAAGTGCCACCTCTGTCCCAAAAGTATTGTCGCTTCCCTAATTCGATCAGACGAAGGTCAAAACGTACGAATAAGGAAATTCTACCAAAGCAACTTGGACGTTTCTTGTTGAGAGACATCCGTAGAGCTTTGCGTAGCAAACGGTGCCGCTACTCTTGAGATACGTGACAAAGAGCTGAAATGCGAATTGGTGCGTTGCCGGGACCTCGGGAGGAGCAGGCGATCTCGTCTTTATATTCAAAGGGGGTTGATCGAGATGAGCTATCTCTAGGAAAGATGGTTGACCTGGTGGTCTGTCATGCATTGAAAATTCGGCCAAATTCACGGTGGAATCAGCACGTCAAACAGCGCGGGTTTGTTGAAGTTTTTGGGGTGTGAACGACAATATTGTGTATGTTGTGGCCAAAGACCAGGACACACCTAATTTAGTGCAAGAGCATTAACCTAGCAGATACGCACAGCTTAGAGAGGCCGTGCATCCTGACGCCAGATCCAAAACGGGCTAGATTGTTGCCAACGTGGCCAATCGTTGAAGTTGACAATTTCGAAGACATGAGTCAGCATAGAAGAGGAGATGGTTCACAAAGAGTATGGTTGAAATGATGTCAAAACACTTGAAAGGCTATAGTAATGCCCATTTACTGCCTAAAGCAAGGTGCTTGAATAATATCGGGAGAATGCGCTGGCACACATGGGATGACGTGAGCACAAATCTACGGGGAATTACAGCCCTGACGGAGA